AGTTATTTCAAACTCTTTTTCTCAAAACGCTTTGCCATGATTTGCATTTGCCCAAGGGGAGGAAGAGGCATCTTTCCAGTTTAATTTACAGATATCAATTACTATTGTGCGATGACGGTCTGCAGAGCCCAGCTGTGCCCGTGTGCCAGTTGCATTGGGAAGACGGCTTACCTGGCGCTGGGATCACCGTCTCCAGATGCGTCTGGTCAAGCTTCAGTTTATCGCCAGAATCGAGCACTCGGACCACGGCTGTGTACTTGTCAATCACCTCCTGTCACACAAATTAATTTATTTCTTTATTAGACTTATACCCCGGCCATCTAGACCAAAGGTCTACTCTACACGAAGACACACCAAGGGACAGATCAGTGAGTTCACCTTTTGCCGGTGTGTGTGTGAGTGTACGCGTGTGCGTGCGTGCGTGCGTGCGTGTGCGTGCATGTGGAAAGGGAACAACTATAACCTAGCCAGGTGTCCCCACTTCTTAGGAACTGCAAAAGAACATGTGGCCCTCCAGATGTTGGCCGGGGCTGCAAGCAGACATCGTAACGAGTGAGCAGGGGTGACCGGAAAGGCAGTCCCCAAACCGATGGACCGGCGCATGTTCCCCATCTCTGGCTGAGCGTGTAATGTGAAAGTGGACACAATTATCTAAGGCTTATGCTGCAGTTAACCCTGCGTCCCTCCCATGGGAACCTGCTGGCCAGCAAGGAGCTCCCCTCCCCATCCGCAGGATCAGTTTCCACCGAATCACTTGTCAATTGTATGAAAATACTGAATAACACTGCTCCCTGCCCAGAAATACATATTTATACAGAATTCCTGGGTGTTTTTACCAGAACTAGCTATTAAAGGGACCCAGAGACTATGCAATCCATAGCAATTGATACTTCCATGTTTTACAGCATCTGCAAGAGGGCGAGGAACCTGATCCACCACGGATATTGCAGGTCCTGCTGTACTAAGAGCGGTCTGCCCACAACTTCAAGAAGTTACCAGACCAGTGGTAGATCCAAACCACGCTGCCGAGCTCTGCTACCGGGGAGGCTCACTGGTAGAATTCTCCCAAGGCCATCCACACTCCCCAAAACACATGTGAGCTAGGAATTTATTTATTTAATTTGTACCCCGCTTATCTGGTAGAGGGGAAGTGCACCATCACAAGAAACATTACAACTTTGGAGGGGGAACAGAAATCCTTGAAGGAGACAGAACTGGTTTTATGTCCGGTGGTCCCAGTAAGGGGCAATACAGTGTTATAATTTTGAAGTAATTTATATAAAATTATGTCTTACTTGTTTTCCTCCCCCATTTTTAATTACTGTTTTTCAATTTCTTTAAGTTTGGATTGTGCAATGTAATATATGTCTATTAATATATATTTTTAAAAAGATTATATGCTGTCATTTAATTGTTGTAAGCCATCTTGCATCCTTTTAAAGGAAAAAGGGGGTTCAAAATAGTTAAAATAAAATAATCAATTTAGCCATTCTCGGATAATATGTTCTTTGACATTTGGGGCAGGATGACATTAATTGTTTTCTGTTAGACTTCACAAATACCTCTTAGATATTTCTTCTCTATTTGCATCAGAGCATTGCAGCACTTCAATGTTTCTGGAAATGAAAGATTGGCTTGCTGCACGCAGTTGCCCAGGATGCCTGAGTGTACTCACAATGCTTTCCACTGTTTGGAAAGAGGTTCATTCTGTCTCCCACCATTAAATGAAACTTAAAGACTGTATCTTAATTAGAGATAGGGACGACAAAAGTTGATGACTCACGAAGCACCAAGTTGTCCTCATGAAGCAACGAATAACAAAAGTATTTGTCAATTTTTGGGGGGCTATTTAAAAAAACACCCCTACCCCTGCCTCCCTGTTGCCACTGGCCCACCGCTGCCACTGCCACCCCACCGCTGCCACCCCACTGCCGCACCAACACTGACCCCCTCCAGCCCACACCAACACCCCCTTACCGTAACCACCACTGCCAGGGTCTCCATCCGGCCTCCACAGCCACAGTGTATAAAAAGGGAGACTGGCTGCGCCTTGCAAAGATGGCAGCTGCAGCTTCCCTACCTTAAATGAAGGCACAGCTGCCATCTTTGCAAGGGGCAGCCAGTTTCCCTTTTTATACACTGTGGTGCAGAGGCCAGATGGAGACCTCGGCAACAGATGGAGACCTCTAAGACCACCTAGAGTGGTCTTAACCGACCAGATAGGTGGGATATCAATAAAATAAATAAAAAATAAATAATAAAATAAGCGTGTTTCAGTGGCGGTGGGAGGGCTAAGGTAGGGAGAGGAAGGCATGGGGGTAGGCTGTGGATGTGGGTGGCTGTGGAGATGGGTGGATGCCTATCAGCCCGCCGATCAGCTGATTGGCAGCCAGTAGGCAGAATGAGTTTTTAAAAAATTTACGAAGGAGAAATAAAAATAGGAAAATATTTGTTGATCCATATTCATTGGGACTTAAAATTTGACAAATATGGATCAATGAATATTTAATGAATCGACTATTTTCCTTGAAAAAACTGATCCGTTTTTATATTCGTCCCCATCTCTAATCTTAATAGGAGACTTTTTTTTCATCTGAAGGAGAACCCCTCCAGACCCCTTCTGCTCAAATCAAGTATTGAAATTGTTTTACCTCAGTTTCAAAGTTGTCTCCAAAAGGTCTCAAAGATCTCTTCTGAACTAAAGCTTCCCTATGATCGTTCAGCCAGACTTGGAAGGAAAATGGATCCGTGACAGTAGTTTTATTTAGTGGATAAGGGGTTTCTTCTAAAATTTCATCTGCAGACAAATAAACAAAAGAAAGGAGGGAAAGAGAGGGAAAGATACAGACTTGCTTCCTAATTTTTTTGTCTAGGATTACCTCAGATGTGATTATATACATTTGCTCACAAGGAACTAAGAGAAGGAATAAAATGTAATATTCATATCATTTCTTGGCATTTCAGAAACTCCAGATTATTATTTGGAGGAAAAGGAGGAGAAAAAGGAATTGCTGACAGTTATTGTTAAACTGCAAGAACTCGTAAGTGCCTGGTGTCAAACTAAGCCCCATTAGTTACAGTGTAATTCAGAAAAAACACAAAAAGAACATAAATATGGAAAAGTAGGGAACTAGATTGAGTTAGGAAACCCTGGGTAGAGTAGACCTACCAAATTTCACATGCACACACAGAGAGCATATATATTCACGGATTCAGTGAATCTACTCTAATTAGGATTAGCACTTGAATTTAGGCCATGGGAATACCTGATAATGTTCAGAGCTGGCCTTATCACTGGGAAGAATGAGGCAGTTGCTTCAGGCAGCAGATTTTGGGTGTTGGATTTAGAAGTTAGTTTTGGTCATTTAGGTATTATTGTGGATTTTTTTTGGTCATTACAGTATTATTATGACTCTCTTTTTTTAACCTCCAGGGAGAAGGAGAGATACTACAAACATTATGCCATGTGAGGCAATGGCAGGGCTTGCCACTGATTATCCTATGTTCCACAAAGCTTTACTAACTGGTAGCCAGAATCATATTGGTGTTTGCCTATGGTGTACATAACTTGCTGTGAATAATATGTGCTGAACTGTGGATAGAATTAGTTGCAGGTGGTCATACACCATCTTGCATAACTGAAATGCGCCCTGACACCTTGCCAATCAGTTGTAATTAGCCACGATAAATTAAGTAAACCTTATTCAAACATCAACAGGATTCAAGACAATATTTGGGCAAGGTCCATATAGCCCTCCCATATCTGAGCATAGCTGCCACCCCATCTGCTTATCTAGTTGCCAAATGTCCTATTGGAAGGGTGTTGGCATCTCTATTTCATTCTGAAGAGACAGCAACACACCAGTGGCATTTAAAGGTTAATCTAATTGAGTACCAATGAAGTGCCTGTTACCAAGGAGCTACATCTCTAATGCCACAACATCTGAAGTTTCATGGCTTAGCTAGGTGGTGGCATGGCCATGGAATGTCCAGCCAACCAGTTTTTCAGCAGCAGAACCTTGCATGGCAACAAAAGGAAATCTGTCAGGATTAGGCACCATTGTTTATGGCGCTTTCCCAGTTTGATGCCTGAGGCAAGTAGCTCAATGTGACTTATGATAGGAAAGATGGTGGACCCTAAGATAATCTACAGGCTCATGGTGAAAGTAGTAATTTGAGTCATCTAAATGTCACCAGTGTAATGTCAGTTCTTCTACACTCCACCAGATACTGTATAGTGTTCACCCATTCTACAAATCCATCTTTAGTGCAAATGTGGGCTGAATTTAACTGACATTCTCAATACCACAGAACATTACTTCCCTACTGTGTGTTCAGAGGCCTCATGGAAGAGTTATTACCCAATATGGAGCAAAACTAGTTCTTACACTGCTAAATTCAAGGCACTGCCCTTCCTGAATGTGTTCAAGATGTCTAAAAGATTGGCTGCCATTTGAAATTCTGTTCTGAGGTGGTTGGTTTCTTTTTAAGGTTTGTAAAACTAACTTTAGCTTTTAGTTATAAATAATTAAATAAATGAAAGCCAGATTCTATTCTGCAGAAGCCACAGGGTACTTCTACATTAAGCCGTTTGAGCGTTTTTCAGTAATGTCACCAAGATGCAGCAAAAATGCAATTTTCTCAGTAGGGTTTCTTATATACATTACGTATCTAGATAACCACAGGCTGTAATTAAACTGGGATGGTAGTGATGCAATATACTTTCAGCTTGGTTTAAAATCTTCCTGAATTTTGCTGCAGTAATTTGGGATAGAAACTTACCAGTTTCTTGTGACAGAACAGGTTTCTCTGCACATGAAAATCAATGTGCTTTCTGCAGTGAAGAGCTGGCATGGTTATAGCATACTAGACACCATATTTAAATTATTTTATTTAAGTTTTTTTTACAAAGGGCTTTTATTTGCTTATTTTCTCGCCCTCCAATGATTTTTTGGGTAGGGTAAATCAGAATTGGAGAACATGTGGTCTTGTGGATAATAATGAACTCCTGTCAGCTCTGCCATGATGAGAGATGCTGGAAGTTGCAGGACATCAACATTTGTAGGTTCCTACATTTCCCATTCCTCTCACAAACCTTTCTTCCCTGTTTAGGGAGCCTTGTGGTGCAGTGGCTACACTGCAGTACTGCAGTGAAGACTCTGCTCACAACCTGGGTTTGATCCTAACAGGCTCAGGTAGCTGGTTCAAGACTGACTCAGCCTTCCATCCTTCTGAGGTTGGTAAATTGAGTGCCCAGCTCATTTGAGGAGGCAATGTTTAGCCTGCATAATGAAATTGTAAACTACCCAGAGAGAGCTTTAAGCATTATGAGGCAGTACATTTTGCTTCGCTTTTGTTTTTTCCAAACTTGTAATGAACATGTATGTCAATATGTAATATTGATTATAAGATTTTCTGCCTATGCTAGTTTAAAATTTGTGTCTGTGTCATAGGCACAAACAAAAAACAAAGTCAATTTTTGACATATTTATTAGACAGCACATTGTTTTGTGACAGAATAAAACAAAGAAAGTTAACAGAGAACCTGCATTTGTTATCTGCCATCAAGTCTCTTCTGACTCATGGTGAACCTGGCCAAAATTTTGTGCTTCGTTATTGCTGCAGAAGGCAAACAAGTATAATGAGCAGGGACCTTTCACTGTCAGTTAATGAATTCCTGTTGAATTATAAGAGAATCCAGCAAGCACTTTTCTGCTTATTAATTCCTGGTTAGAATGGATGTGTCTTAGTCTGGTGTATAAGCGTTGACCATTTTGCCTCTTGTGACCTTTCTAAGAGTCCAGATTCATAATGAAGTCTATCTTCCCACCAGCACTGATCTCAGCTTCCTTGATGCACTCCAACCCCCTCATAACATCAAGGTGCGCACCCAGGAGGTTTGTGTACTGAGTTTACTTAATAATAAAAGGAAAGTGATGTTTAGCTGCACATAACATATTTTAAAGCTGGCTGGATAACTCAGTGGTTTAGGGATCTGGCTGCAGAATCATAGTCTGGTAGTTTGCTTCCCTACTGTAGCCTCCAGATGGAACAGCCAGCCTGCGTAGCATTGGGCAAGCTAAACTGTTCTAGGATGCTCTAGAATGGTAAACTACTTCTCTGTATTCTGTGCCAAGAAAACCCTGGAAAGTGCAGAAGAAAGTCAATATGGATGATCGGGGGACTGGAAACTATGCCCTATGAGAACTTGGGTATGTTTAACCTTGAAAAAAAAGAAGACTGAGATGATGAGATGAGATATGATAGATCTTTTCAAAAATTTGGAGGATGATCATACAGAAGAAGGGCAGCATCTGTTCTCAGTTATTCCAAGGGACATGTAATAAGGGGCTCAAGATATGAGAAGCTGGATATTACTTGAGTATATAAAAAACCTCACTTCCTAGCTGTTAAAGCAGTATGGCAAACTTGGGTAGTGGTTTGATCACCAACATTGGAGGCATTCCAGAGAAAATTGGACAACCATCTGTCAGATCTGCTTTGATTTGGATTCCTCCACTGAGCTGGGGGTTGGACTCGGCAGCCTTATAGGCTTCTTCCAACTCCATTATTGTATGATTCTATGTTAATGTTGATTTATCTAGTGCCATTCCTAGAAATGAGGCTGTACCTTACTTAAAGGGGATTACAAAAAGAACACAGAATAACAGTGTGAGGGGAAAAATGGAGACATTTTCTTGTGGAAGAGAGGGGAAGTAAACACCTAAAAGTACATTAAGTCCTTGGTTGTTTCATAATATTCTCACAGGAGAGGTTACCCAACTAGTTGGTGTGTGAACAACAGTCTCTGAGAGCTTTACTCATGTTTTACCATGTAAGCTGAACCACAGATGATCTTTTATCCATGCTTATAGAAAGAGATGTCAGAGAAAGCATGAACACTGTGGAACAAATTATCTCCTTTTCTGCAAAACTTTAAGGGAGGAAAATTATGGTTCTAATATCTTGTGTTTTCTTTTAAATGGAAGATTCTGAAAAGTTTTTAAAAAGTTGAAGAATAAATTCTCAAAATTATTTCCTGAAATTGTTATGATGTGTCCTGCCAAGAGTATTAAGAACTCTAGAACTGGAAAATGTCAAAAGATCATCTCTGATTCTTGCCTTAAGGTGACTTGATTCGTGCAAACATAAGAAGCTGCTTTATTAAGATCATTGGTCCATTTAGCTTCACGTTTTCTACACTGATTGACAGAAAAATAATGTGTTCCAAGCAGGAGCCATTCCTAGACCTACTTAGGATTTCTAGGAGTCAAAACAGGACCCTTTATTGTGGAAGACACTGTTTTTAAAATAATGTTATGAAGTCTCATGCTACTGGCTAAAGAGCAGGAGAGATGCGGCTTTAAAGACTGCACATCCAGCTTTACACATTCTAAACTGGCTCCAGTACCCACTGCTCAGGTATATATGTTGAACTTATGGAATATAAATGCACCAAACAGCCAGATTGAAGGACAGGGATCTGGGAGATAGTTGGTGGTTTCATTTGGATGCATTGTGCCATTTGCAGCAAGCCAGAGAATGGAGAACAATAACTCCCACAACTTCTTGTTACATAAGTACTGGCAAAGAGAACCACCCAATAGGCTGCCAGTGAACCTTCTATAATCCCCAGCAGCAGGACTGGGTCTGAAAAAAAATCACAGCAGCAGTGAAGGAAAAAGAAAAGGTAATCAAATGTAAGGCTATGTCACTGGAGAAGGAGATCAGAATGATGCACACTCTTGTATTCTGAATTACCATGTATGGATGTGAACGCTGGACAGTAGAGAAAGCTGAGGGGAAAAGAATTGATTGGTTTGAAATATGGTGCTGTAGGAGAGCTTTACTGCCAGAAAGATGAATAAGTGGGCCCTAGATCAAATCAAGCCTGAACTATCTATGGAGGCAGGAATGTTGAAGCTGAGGCTGTCCTACTTTGAACACATCATAAGGAGACAGGATCCTCTGGAAAAGATAATAATGCTGGGAAAGGTTGAAGGCAGTAGGAAAAGAAAAAGATGAGATGATCAGACTCTCTAAAGAAAGCCACAGGATTGAGTCTACAGGAGCGGAACAGGGCTGTTGAGGATTGGGCATTTTGGAGATTACTCATTCATAGGGTTGTCGTAAGCTGGAGGTGACTTGATAGCAAACAACAACAACAACAACAACAACAACAACAACAACAACAACAACAACAACAACCTGATCCTCCCAAAGAGTGTTCTCCAAGAAAGCTATGTTCAGCCCCCACGTGATTAACCAGAGTAGAGCAAACTGCAAATAAGGGTGACCTGGTAGATGAAAGCTGGATAACATTTCTTCTTTAGTCTACCAAAATCAGTCAGTATGTGAACCGTATGTAGTCCCATTGGGGGGGGGTGTCTCTGGAATTTTTAAGTTTTAACTTTTAAATCACCCAGAGTAGTGCTTTCACTGATGAATCAAATAAATAAATAAATAAATAAATAAATAAATAGTCCAAAAAGTAACTTTTCCAGGTTGTGATTTAGACCTCTGTTGATCTCCACAACTCCTAACTTGACACATAAGGGAAAGTTTTCTTCATTTCAAAAGTACTGTATAATGGTCATGGCTAATTTTGTTTTTCCTCATTGTTAAAATTGTAAGGCAGAAATCCTTCCACGCAAAGAGCTACTAGTAAATCCTGATCTATGTTTCGATCCTCTCCATCTATCTGTTTACTTGATGCAGAAAACCTAAAGCTACAGCATTCCTATAAAATGGGTGTCCATTTACTTGAAAACCAGCAGTTTTCTGCTGATCCTCCTTGTTGAAAGGGATCCCATGAAAGGTAGATGTAAGGCGGAGGAACAAAAATGTTGGGGCTAAGGATGGCTGTATAGAGCTAAAATTTAGCAGGAACAGTGAGGTCATTTTTAACAGAACTATTTGTAATACCCATTGTTCTTTGTCTAACTGGGGACTTAGAATACTGATGGTCCCTTGCTAAGTCTGAGAATACCCATTTCCCACTTGAGTTGAGCTTGGAAAATAATGAATCACACAACCCTGTTTTTTTGGCACACACTCAGTTACTGCTGGCGCAGGGAGAAAAAAAGCTAACGTTTCTCATACAACAGCAATTTCATTTGCAGGAGTGCTAAAAGCAAGAAAGTGGTAGGAGTTGAAAATAAATATATGGAATTATGCGTAAAACATCATTACTGCTTGCTGAATCATTGATGGTTTAATATTACCTGGATTGGGTTTTCCTGTGCGGTATTGACTTGAGTTGAAAAATCTGGAATAACAAAAATTAAAACTTCTAACAGCTATCTCTACTCTTCACCCCCAGACTTTATGAAAATAATAGGACAACAGTGCTAACTCTTTAATAGGATACAATTATGGATAATTAATCATAACAAACAGGACTTGCAATGCAAAGTCTTCTGCGTTGGGATTCCAGCCAGCCCCTGATGCTCACTTCTAAACTGTTGCAATCTCAGTGCCCTAACTAGGGCAAGGCAATTAGGGGTTTATCACAGGGTGCCAGGTTTAGAGGATACAGTAGGGAGCCCCTTATCCGCAGAATCAGTATCTGCTGTTCACAGATCTGTGGTCCAAAATTATTACAAATATTAAAAGAAGAACATCCAGAAAATTTTTTTTTCACATACATTACCAGAACTAGCCACAGAAGAAGCCAGAGAGGATACTATGAAGAATACATAGTATGGTCTCTGGCTGCTTAAGGCTTCTCTTCTTGCTAACTTGCTCCTGGGCAGCGGCCAGGCACAGCTCCTCCTCCTGCCTGCTGGTTTACCCGGAGAGAGAGAGAGAGAAATATAGTATGGGGGTTTGAAAGTGTTGGCTAGGCAATCTAGGCAGGAGGAGGGATGGTGCAGCATTTAGGGCCAGCTGGCTTAGGCAAGCAGCTCAGTATGCAGGTGAAATGGCCCTCAGCCCTCCCGAGATAGGGGTGGCTCACTCCTCCCTCAGCCCCCTGTGCTCCGCCTTCCCTTCGGGTAACCATCAGGTTTGTATGGATTGGGAGGATGACTGGGGTTCCATGGGCTCCTTTGTGTCAAGAGTTTGCCTTCACCTTCCAAATACAGTGGTGCCTCGCTTGATGACATTAATTCGTTCCAGCAAAATCGCTGTAGGAGCGAAAATGCCGTAAAGCGAAATAAAAAACCACTCAATGGGTTCCAATGGGCTGAATAACTCACTGTCCAGCAAAGATCCTCCATAGGGGTGGCCATTTTCGCTGCCTGTAAAGCGAGGAATCCGTCCAAAAACACAGTGGGGAGCCATTTTGAGCAGCCAGCGGCCATTTTGAAAACCTGACAATCAGCTGTTTTGATCGTTGTAATGTGAAGAATCGGTTCCCGAAGCAGGGAACCGATCATTGCAATTGCGATTGCAAAAACATCGTTGTGAAGCGGATTCATCGTTATATGGGGTAATCATTAAGCGGGGCACGACTGTAGTTGGTGAGGGTGGGAAAGAAATTTAGTATAATCCATGTTCTTCAGCACCCATGGGGTGGGGCTTGGAACCAATCCCCTGCAGGTACAGGGATCCTACTGTACATTCCTTCCCCTCTGATGCTGAACAAAGTCATTCCCAACTAGACTTCTAGAACTGGCCTAATGAAATGGTCCACTACCACAGGAAAAGACAGCTGTAGACATATTCTCTGGTGTAGACTTAACTGATTTTCTGCTGGCTGCACAGCTGACAGACCATGCCCCAAGTGGGAAGGCCAACTTTTAGGCAGAAATGCAGGTCCTTTAAAGCAGCTATTCTCAACCCCCCTCTTTTTTTTGCCATGGCCATAAACATAATGGGAAAGAAATACAGACCAAATCAGGACTGTATAAGTCGCTGAACAAACTTTATTAAGGTAGTGTGTGAAGAATTGTTTCCAGCCTGTGGCCCCTGTTACATACAGCACTGATGTTACCTGTCTGTCATGGGTTTGGAGGGAAA